ATATATATATATATATATATATATATATATATATATAAAACAATATAATACATGTATACATGGAATACTTTCTTTTATGGATATAGATAGATTGTGAACGACCATACATATTGAAGTTAAATAGACAATGTCAATAAATTATCCGATATTACACTATTATAACGTGCAAATTTATGACATAATACAAAAAAGGTACGTACCCTTTAATTCCGCAAGTATAGATAAATCAGTGGCGCTGTAAATTTTTATCGAGTGATTGGATGCGCTCGCAGCGATAACAGTGCCTGCAGTATTTCCCGCAAGATCGAATAGGTATGTGGAGGCGTCGTTGCCAACAGCAAACTTCCTCTGCACGTGTAGTGCTAACTCGACAGCCATTATTGGAATAAATTTGTATGTATTTATCGATTTGTTTTGAGTTAGGTGATGTATTTACTTTTATATGTATATATACATATACAAATATATTTATTTAATATATATATATATACGCGTGTATTGGTATAGTAGCTATATTATAATATGGATGATCAGGCTCGTCTCCTTACCGTGAAGATAGTAGTACAGGCGATATATTATTTACATAAATACATCATTGTGATCAAGACGTGATAACGTGCGCTGCGGTCAGGTGGATACAAAATGCCTCAGATAGAAAGTGATGACAAACAACTGTACCGAACTTCTAGCCATGATGCCTAAGACACATACCATCTTTGAAAGCTCATGTATTGTCGGTGCGCCGACGAACTCGATGTTTTACATAATTTTAATTATATTACAATATCTTATAACTGTTCGTCTGTATGCGTGTACATATGTTATTAGTGTTCCCATAAGCAGAGAATAATATAGCTTATTTCCGCGTCACAGGATTAAGCGTACAGAAGAACCCATTGTTCCATAGAAATCGAGTAAAATGCCTGTAAGAATACGTATGGCCCGCTTTGGGCGTATCCATCAACCCGTGTACCGCTTGGGTATGTTGGTGACTTTTATGAATGTGCTTTCTACTTGAAGTACTCAGTTGACGTGCATCGTTTCAAAAGTACTTTCGAGTGTGATTTTTTATGTCACAATAAAGGAATCGATCCATCATGTTCGGGAGGAAAATGATGAAGTTCTTGTTTATT